TTGGTTTCAGCATTTTTGGTTCCTGTGGGTTCTCCGCGATCCTCAGGGGCAGCAGCGGACACTGCAGTGGGATCCGCGGCTGTGGACGGTGCTCTCCACGTTGGTGCATGGGCTGGGTGCCACATTGCAGTACTTTAAATTTGTTTGTACTATGGCCCATCGCATAGCAGGCAGTACAATACTGAGACACTGTCGAAAATCCCCTCAAAGAAGGAGAACTTTCCCACCCAATACAACACTGAAATTTCTCTCAGTAATCTGTCTATGGCGTTTATAGCATGACTGGATGCCATGGTGCATTCATCAATAATGAGAAGTTGGGCCTTTTTAATAGTTTTAGCAACTTCACTCTTTATATTGAGTTTAGAAATTGAAGTTTCATTTAGTGGAATGGGTAATTTATATTGGGAATGAAAGGTGCTTCCACCAAAAGTAAATTTGCAGCAATTCCTGTAGATGCTGTGGGTAAACAGTACTACCAAGACCTCTAATATAATGTATTAAAACTTTATAAAGATATGCCTCCATGCTCTGAGGGCCAGTTCCTGCCTCAAACCTCGCTGCCCTCACAGGGAACAGCTCGGGGAGGGTGTAGCCATTTCCAGGACGACCGCTGCAGGACTGACTTCCTTCCAGTTGGTCGAGCCTCAGTCGTGATGTTACACCCAGGGTTTTTATATAAATAGATGCTCAAAGTCACTAACCACCTGAGAGATGCAAATCAAAATGACAATGCGGTACCATATCACGCCTGTCAGAATGGCTATCATCAACAAATCAACAAAATAAATATCACATGATATCACTCATATATGGGATATAATGATCAACATAAACTGATGAACAAAAACAAATCCAGAGACAAGGTAGCACTGAACAGACCGTCCAACCTCAGAGAGAAGGCAGGGGTTAGAGATCAACCAAAGGACTTCTATGCATGCATATTAGCAAACCAATGGACACAGACACTGGGGCAGTGGGGGCTTGCCCTCTGGGGTGGGAGTGGTGGGGGTCGGCAATTGGGGAAAATGGAGACATATTTAACACTTAAAATACATACATACACACACACACACACACACACACACACAAAACAAAACAGAACAAAACCCTTTTGTGGCTTCCTTTTGCTTCTAGATAGAATCCAAACTCCCCAACAAGTTGCATAAGGCTCCATATGACCTGACTCCTGCTGATGGCTCCAGTTTCATGAGTGAACACAGCCCCAGGTCTCTACACTCTAGGAGCACTCAACCATACTCTTTGGGGCTCTCAACTTTATATGAGCTTATTCCTCTGCCTGCAGTTCTCCCTCACAACACTCCCTATCCTTCCATGGAAAATCCTTCTTAGCCCTATAGGGGCTTACCTTGAACCTACAAAGTTGATCAGGTGCCATTTCTGGGCTCCCACAGCTCCCTGGGCTCCCCGTTCTGGCTATGAGCCCTCTGCCTGTGCCTTCTCCTCCCAGCACTGTCCATTCTGAGCTGTCACTTTCTTGTTACTGATCTGTCTCCCTCTGGAGTGAAAGCCCCATGAGTTCAGGGCTCAGGACTGTCTTAGTAACCCCTGTGTTCTCAGTCTTATCTAGCAAAGCCTGGAAAAACTAGTGGTTCAGTGAGCACTGGTTCAATGGCTGCTAAATTTGTTGAGTGGCTTACAAGTCTGATGTGTGTGTGTGTGTATGCGTGGTGTGCATGTGTGTGTGTGTGTGTGTGTGTGTATAACCATGAGAAAGAGAATTTTCAGAGAGGATATTTAAGTTGATCCAATGAGAATAACCTACCTAGAAATGCTCTCAAGACACACCTGTCTTGTGGAGGCTTTTTCTACTTAGTGTAACCCTTGAAAATGGAGGGAGGTAAATACTCTGAAAAAATAAGGGAACTACTTATTTTTTTAAGAAGGGCCATGGAGCTGGGCTGTGATTGATTTCAAACATAGATAGGCACAAGTCAATCTCAGATGCTCATGTGTATATAGTGTGGCCCACGTGCCTGCATACTATACCAGAATGCACACAAACACAGCCACACACTCATATATAGTCAGCTGTTTTACATATGTATATACAGATATCAAAACATCAGGTTGGACACAGAGACACACATGCAGATGTCACCCAACAAGCATATCCCAAAGCATGTACTCATACTACCTACAGACACAGAGATCGGCATGCAATCAGGCACTCTGGCAAGGACACACACATACCCTATCATGCACCCAGATATGCATATATGAGCATAAACAGGTATGGATACCAATTTATGCACCAACACCCCCACCCCTCAAAGACAGGTGTGGGCATGAATTTATCAACATGGACACACTGACGCATACACGCACACACACATTCACAGACACCCCAAGCATGTACCCAGAATGATACACATCTGCAGGTGTATAAATAAGGATAAACATGGCAGAGGCATCTGGGATAACCCACTGGATAAAATGACACAAATACGAAGGGATCCAGATCCAGCACACACAGGGCTAAGGGGCAGGCTGACGTACAGGGAAGGAGAAAGAGAAAGTCAGAGACAAGGGGATTGAGATAGAGGAGGACAGAGGGGAACGTCCTGTGCAGGGCTCCATGCCCACCCAGAAGATCCTGAGCAAGAACAACTAATATTTATTGAGTGTTTACTGCTATGTATATCACACACATTAACCCATCGACTCCTCACCAAAATGCCAAAGGGTTGGGTACTGTCATTGGCTTCATAGGCTCAGAGAGGTTAGGTTACCCATTCAGGGTCACACATTGAAGAAAGGATAAGCTTAGGATAACAATCCATGTCTCTATCTTGCTCTTAACCATTGTACCATCCATCCAGAAAGGAAAACTGAGGCCCAGTGAGGGGAAGAGATATCCTGGATTCAGCACCAGCTCTCTTCTGAAGCCTATCCTGGCCACTGCACACGGGCACGTGTCCTTTCTCTGGGAGGTAAGGCATGTGATGTCAGAAACTGATCTCTCACTCTATGTTCCAGGGTCAGGGACATGACCTCAAGTAATTTTCCCAGTCTTGACCCCTCACACCCTCCCCACCCAGCTGTCTGTCTAAACATTCAGGGCCCTTCCTGATGCCAACTTCATAGGGAAACAAACTCCTCAAAGTCCTACCTGCTTCCTTCTCAAGGAACAAGAGGGTAAAGGAGTGGCCCAGGCTTGAGGCCAGCCCAGGTGCAAGAATGGAAACTAGACTTTTGTTGGTAAGAATGCAATCCAGTGTATTGATATCAATTACAATGCTATACACATTCAATTATATAATGTTGTTAACCAATGTTACCTCATTTTGTAAAAAGATCAAAAAGAAAAAAAAGATTAGGGGATTGCTACCTGCCAAACCCATGCGAATCCTCCTTCCCTTTTCTTTCCCCCTCCAAAACCAACAAACAGCTTTCCTCTCTCTGCTTCATTCTCCACCCTTTGTTCCCTCCCTACCGGTCTCATAGCTCAGGGGCCTACAATGAGTTGAGCAGCATGCCAGTCCTCAGAGTGCCAGCCTCACCCACTTGCACTCACCTGAGATTAGAGGTGGCACCTAAGTAGGATGGTCCAAATATTGGAGCCTGCCCAGTGGCCGTCAGGATCCCCTCTCAGGCCCACATAGGACCAATCTCAGTGCTCATCTGGTGCTCATGCTGGAGCCTGCTGGGATCAACCTCAGAGCCCACATGGTGCCATCATATGCCTTCTGGAAGCCAGCCTCAATGGGCCACCTGGGTCTACTCTCAGAGCCTGCTCAACACCATTGGTGCTCTACTACTGCTCTCCTGGTATCAAGTTCAGTGTCAACTCATTTTCAATCCTAGTGTCTACCTGGAAACAAGCTCAATGTCAATGTGATGGCCCTCTGTCCCAGGGCTATCTGATGCCTCCTCCCCGCCCCCCCCGCTCAGCATCTCAGGGCCCACCTCTGTTCCCAACATTGAAACTTACTCAAATCTGTCCTCTTATGGTTCCCTCTGCCTGATAATAGCAGCCCTGCTGAGCCAGGAATTACCTATAAAACACACACCCCCTCAAATATAACCTTTCCACTGGTGGCAAATTCAGTCCCAGAAAGGGGGAATAAAAGTAGAGAGCAGGAGAGACATATGTTTCCCTGCCCACTCTCTGTTCTCTGCCCTCATCTTGCCCTTATATAAAATGGGAAGCATAAATAAATAAATGAATAATAATAATAACAATAGGAATGATGGAATCAACTTGGTGGGTTTCCCTAAGGATCTGGGCAGGGAGTCATTGTGGCTCTCTGTAAATTATATACCTGCAGACAGTTGGGATTTTTCGTACCGTATTGCACTTGTCATTACTATTTGCCAAGTCCTGGCCCATCCCTCTGCCAACTGAGACCATGAGTCAATCTTCTCCAGTTCTGTGGAAAGTTCCACTGAGATGTGGTTCTGGTTGTCTCTCCCTTTCCCAACCAGGAATGGGCAGTCCTGTGGCATGCCATCTTGACTCCGCTTTGAGGTGCCAATGAGGATTCTGGGCATGAAGAGGTGGTATTATGTCCAAAACAAAAGCAGGTCAGCATCTGGGTCAGGAGCTGACTCCATGATCCAGTCCTTAGCAAAAGATCCCCAAATCCACAGCCACATGTGGATTTCTTATTCCAATACCCTTAAATCTTTTATTCTTCTCTCCCAAGACCCTAAACTCCACAACTTTGATGTTCTTTCTCACTCTGAGTCCCCAAATCCCAAGCTCAGGGACTCACACATGCAAATATTCCAGAATCTTCAGCTCTGAAATTTGTCTACTATCTCTGCCCGCCCCCTCTCCCCCCAAGTCCACAGTCCTGGGCTGGCCCCTCAGGAGAAGCCACAAATTCAGACTTATTAATCTGCTCTGGAGTCCCTCCCTCCTCCATTGTTGGCTGCATCCCAAGCTAGGCGGGAGCATGGTGGGAGGTATAATTGGGAGGTGAAATGAGACACTTATATAACCAGGACCAAAGGCCACCCCTCTCTGCCAGTTAGTATAAAGACAAGCCGTCCCAGCCTTCACCATGTGACTCTCACTCTCAGCGCCACCATGCTGGCCTCGGGGATGCTTCTGGTGGCTTTGCTGTCCTGCCTGACAATAATGGTCTTGATGTCTGTCTGGCGGCAAAGGAAGTTCTGGGGAAAGCTACCTCCTGGTCCCCGAGCGCTGCCCTTCATCGGGAACTACTTGCAGCTGAACACAGAGCAGATGTACAACTCCCTCATGAAGGTGTCATGAGGCAGGGAAATGGGTGTTAGGGTGGGGTTGGGGGCCTGCCCGGTCTGGCTGAGACTTTGTAGCAGGGGATTGGCAAGGTTGGACTGAAATCTTAGCAAGGAGGAGGTTTTTTAAAAAATATGTGTTTGTATTGATTTCAGAGAGAGGAAATGAGAGGGAGAAAGAGAGAGAAACGTCATTGGAGTCCAAAACCCTGGCATGTGCCCTGATCAGAATCAGGGGATCAAGCTGGTGACCTCTCGGTGCATGGGGCGACGTGCAAGCAACCAAGCCACACCAGCCAGGGCAAGAGGGGGGAGTTTTGAAGGGTTAGTACTGGGGTTCTAGCCAGGAAAGACCAGATCTTGGGATGTCCAGTTCCTTGACTGACAGAACTCGGGCAAAGTGTATCCCAGTCTGTGAAGTCTGGGTACAGAGTCAGTTCAGAGTTGGGGCTGCTCCTTCTCACCACTCCCCTGCCTCTCCATCAGATCAGCCAGTACTACGGTCCCGTGTTCACCGTCCACCTGGGCACTCGGAGGATCGTGGTGCTGTGTGGACATGAGGCTGTAAAGGAGGCTCTGGTGGACCAGGCTGAGGAATTCAGTGGGCGAGGCCAGCAGGCCACCTTTGACTGGCTCTTCAAAGGCTATGGTGAGGGGGACGCTGGAGGGGGAATGTGGTCAAGCAGACTTGATGGCCTCAGTGTCCCAGCATTCTTCTCCCTGAGGGAGAGCCCTTCCTCGGTCTCCTCTGTCCAGTTCTGTTTATCCCTGTGTCCCCTCTAACTTGTCTTAGTGTTTCTGCGTCTCCCTGCTTCTCTTTGCCCCATCTCCTGGTTCTCTCTCACTAGATGGCTCTTCTTTCTCTGTATCGCTTAGAAGCTCTTGGAATTTTTGCTTTGGAACCCTGGTCCTCTGTCTCCAAGTGTCATTTGTTGTTTTCTCCTTCTCAGCTCTGTGCCTCCCCATGTTTCTCTCTCCCTCTCCTTGCCTCTCTTTTCCTTTGTCTTAGAATCTCACATTTCTGCTTCACAATCCCCATGCCTCCACCTCTTGGTAAAAGCCTCTTCTCTCTTCGAGGCCACCTCTGCTTCTCTGTATATGTTTTTCTCTCTTCTCCATCTCAGTCTTAGAATCCTTCTCCATTTTTACTCCCACTTCCCAGAACTCCACATATCTCACTTCCCCTCCGTCCCTCCTGCCTCTTTCTCTTTATGTGAGTGTCTCTGATTCTCTGTACATCCGTGTTGCCCCTTTCTTCTAATTTTCTTCCAACTTGGTCTCTTTCTCTTTCTGTATTTCTCTGACTCTGAGTGTTCTCTTTCTCTTTCTGTATTTCTCTGACTCTGAGTGTTCTCTCTCTCTCTCTCTCTCCCTCTTCCCCCACTTTCCTCTGACCCCACCCCTCTCTGGCCACTCGCCACTCATACATTCCCTTCCCAGGGGTGGCATTCAGCAATGGGGAGTGCGCCAAGCAACTCAGGCGCTTCTCCATCAGCACGCTGCGGGACTTCGGCGTGGGCAAGCGTGGCATCGAGGAGCGCATCCAGGAGGAGGCGGGCTTCCTGCTTGAGGCCTTTCGGGGCATGCACGGTGAGCTTGGCACCCCAGAGAATAGAGGAGGAAAACGCTGTCCTGGCCTGGGAAGGGAACTAGGTTGGGGGAAGGCGTTCCTCGAATTCTCAGACTGGCATCCCACTGCCAAGTTGACTCCCCCCCACCCCCCC